TATATATCCCATGAGCTAGGTTGTAACACAGACAAAGACTAGTTTTAGTTTTTTCAATTCGTCCTGGTGGCCTCTGCAGGTGTGTCTTCTAAAATAAGCTACTTATCAGCCTTGAGCATGTGTAAACGCTTGATTGAAAGAGTTTGATTGTAATAATTCTATAAAAATCTGTAAAATAATGTTTCACTGCAGCACTTTTAGGTCCATCAGTTGAGTGAAGGTGTTTTAACACAATAATGTCAAACAAATCCGTGTTTCTCCACAAAACATGTCTGTAAATATCTATTTGCATTTCATCTAAATTAGGATATTTTACTTTAATTTTTTTATCAGACCCTGCTGCCAGTCATTTGTCAGCACGACTACCATCCTCCTCCCTCCTCCCATGTGCATACCTGTGCATGTGAAAACATACGGCACACTGAGTGTTTTCTCATCACATAAGCAGCATTAGGCCTCTGGTTGTTACTTCACCAACATGCAAGAGGAAAGGCTGCTCAGTTACAGCTCCCACTACCCGCTACTGTTCTTCCTCTTTCCTTCCTCCCATCTTTGCTGACCTTTTCCTCTTGTTTCCTGCATATGTCGTTTGCTGAGTAAGGGGCTGCTGTGTGACCTCTGCTAACATTGAATGGGTGGCGCTTGGCAACAGGAACTGAAAAGGAAGAGGAACTCCCGCAACATGAAGGAAGTGATGGCTGTTCGTACCTTGAACTTCGCGTGTCATTTATCGAGTCGCCGAGCAGTGATTCTGCTTTATTCTCAGTGGCGGTGGCCTCAGGAACGGAGGGGCAGTTAGGATAACAGCAGGGAGGTTTGTCGGAGTGATCTAGAGAAGCAAGGAGGTCAAAGAGCAGTGTGTGGGAAGTACAGGGTGGGACATTTCCGATGTTCTCTGCAAAAAAAAGACATCTCAGGTCGTGTTACCGTAATCATTTTCTCTAACGCACACACAGGACATTAACAGCCCTTCCCATACCGCCGGATGAAGATACACCATCATATCAGTAACAGCACATTGACACTCGCCACACACCGACCTGTCCGACGCCTATCCCCTATTCGCTGCGTCCTCATAAGCAGGGTGTCTCGTGTCCTCTTCTATTTTTACCGTCGGGCGCTGAAAGCCTCTGGAAGCTCCTTGTCAATGGGCATCTCATTCCACCGCCAACGGCGTGTCACCATTTATTAAGTCGTCATTACTCAGGGCCGCTCCGGGTGCCAGGGGATGTCGCAAATAGATCGCCGACGATAGGTCGGACTGTTGCTGCACTCCCTAAAGGGCAACCCAGAAAGGCGTGTTGCAGCACATCTCACTCCATCGGTGAGGATCGATGCAGGTAGCCGGGCTGCTGAGAGTTCGGCTAATGCAGATAAATGGAAGGAAGGTGGTGGATCAGGGCAGAGCGAAGAGACAGAGGTCGATGGAGAAGAGGCTACTTCCATGCGTCTGTCTGCACATCTTTTTGTTTTGGGTAAACACCTAAAAAGGCTGGTTGGACTGAAGGGGTGATGAGACATGAGGTGGGGGGGACGCCACGGTGGTGGAAGTGAATACGCAGCAGAAAACACAAGACGTGGGTGCAGGCAAACGCACACATCGGGAATCTCTCAGACTAACTTAAACACATGGAAGGACCATAAACACACAAACAGTAAATCACTTTGAATTTGAAAAACCTCTGGTCAGTTCCAGTAACATCACAGAGAGACGGATGACTTAAAGGAAAATTACTGTTTATTCCCTATTTCGCAGTTCTGGCAACAACTTAGTTTGACATTAGTCATAGATAGATAGATAGATAGATAGATAGATAGATAGATAGATAGATAGATAGATAGATAGATAGATAGATAGATAGATAGATAGATAGATAGATAGATAGATAGATATGTAATGATGAACAACACATTCATTCAGCAGTAAAAACTCTTTCTCGAACAAACAGATCAGTGTAAAATGACCGGACTGATACGTCTTTTTCTGTCAATTGTCACTGATTGTGTCTAATTGTAGGAATATATTGACATTATTAAACCTGAATTAAACACTTCCATCTAAATAAAAATGAAATGTTGGAATGTGAAATCACAATAATTGTGGGATGTATTTTAACAGTCCTTCTATGTCAAAAAAAGGGGAAACTTTATATCTATTCTGAGTTACAAGGTTTACGTGTTTGTTTACACTGGACTTGTAAATTCACTGTCTACTTTCATATTTCAGTAATACTGGAGAAAATCTTAAAGATAACAAAAAAAACAGACTGTCGAGGCAGAAACTGAAGCAATCTGATGTTCTGACTCGCTGTAAACAAGTCAGTCGTTGAGTCAGATTAACCAGGACATTTGGAGGTGAAACGGAAACACACCGGAATTTTTGATAATAAACCCTCATTACAGAGTAAACAGGATGCCCACACCTGTGGTAAATACGGTCGGTCAGCCAACACAGGAAGCTCATATGTAAACCATGATGGGCAGTTATGATGGACACTGTGGCCTGAGCACTGGAGCTGTTTTCCTTCATATTCTTTGCTTTAAAAATTTGCAAAACTGGTGTTTAATACAATTTTCTCACCTGTCAGACTTGATATCAGTGACGCTGCATCTCCAGCAGTAAACTTGGAGAATGTCGTGTTAATATTAGAAATAGAAATGACGATTGAAACTACAAAAATACAATGCAAGTTATAGTGAATTTACTTCAGCCTATAAGGTTGGTGCACTGCAGGAAACCAACATCCCTCATTTCTTGTCCTTTTTTCACAGGACACCAACAACCCTTACTAAAAACATTATCCTAATTTTATACACTGTAAAAATGAACACAAAATATCAACAACATTCAAAAAATATAATATATATTTAAATATATGTAATGTAAAATACCATAAATAACCTGTAACTGTGAATATCCCGAACATTTCCAATTAAATTCAACTTCAGTATTGTAAATAAGTTTCTAAATTAGATATGATTAATGAAAATTTACAATAAAGAAGTGTTGGTTCGGTAATGTTAAATAGATTTATTTGTTAGTGAGAGCTCTCTTGTTTAATTCCATACGTTTGCACAACAAAAACTGAATTAAATGAATGTGTTTTCGTCATTGTACAATATCTATAAGCATCTGTAAGCTGTCTTCTATCTACCTAAGTGCATATATACTATCTATTGTATTGGCTTCATTATTTTTTATTTCCAAAACCAAACCGTCGTAGAAGATAAAACTCAATGTGAGAAGTTTTTTTTTGTTATTTTACAGTATTTTTTGCTGCCCCAGCTGCCGAAATCTAGCTTTTTAACAGCTTTTTTAGAGCGTAAAACACACAAGATTCGGATCAGATATTATTTATGATCAGTTACAACACTAAACACTGGTGGAAGTGCTGGTATATGAGGGTCCCCCCCTATATCATTATATACACACACTCACCATGAAAACTAAAGCAGCCCAATTCTTCAGGGTTGTTTTCCTTCAGTGTCGTGAGGTGTGTGAGTTGACACATCAGCACTCCTGTTTATCAAAGCTTTTATCACCTCACCGCTGCTATGTCACCCCTTTAGAGGAAGCAGGAGGTGCCCGCTCACACTCACACACACACACACACACACACACACACACACACTCAGCACCTGCATGGGGTTGAGAATAGAGTGGGGGGTTTGTTGTTGACCTGCCTGGCTGATGTGAATGACTTTAGCAGAGACAGGATCCGTCTCAGACTATGCAGGTTAAGTACCAGCATGTGTTCTCCTCAAACGTTAGGTTTCATCTGGATAAGTCAAAAACACACTCAGATGGTGTGCGTGGGAAAATCGCGACTTTCTGTGTGCATACAATGTTACTTTAATGTTCAAAAAAAACGTGTGCATGAATATTCTCATCAAATGGAAAACAAATATTAGAGATTAATATAGAAGCCATGTTAACATTACAGGTCTTTTTGAGTAATGTTCCATGGAACTCAGAGTGACGTAACTGCGATAGAAATTACGCATTTGTTGAGTCTTGTCTGAACAAGATGTATTTCTTTCAACTTTTCCCACGACCATGACGCCTTTCTTCATCTCCGGTTCGATTCTTGCCAACCTCCCACGTATATTTGAAGTTTCCATAGAAAGAATATTATCGGGATAAATTATTGGACTCTAATTCTTGTTTAGGAAAATTGTTTATTTTCTGACTTCTATGCTCATGCTGAGATCTCGTGGTATAATTTTACACATTTCAATCTCGAAAAACTTGAAAATGATCCCCCCAAAAAAGCTTTAAGCATTCATCTAAATCAAGCTTCAATCAAATTTTGTTTCCCTATAACATGAAGCCAACCATCAGTGAGGAATCAAAACAACTGATAAAGCGTAGAAAGCACGCTGACTGTTTACTCTAGAATTCTGTCTGCTCAAGAATGTAAAGAGCAGAAGCTTTTACGGTTGGTAGAGACATTGTCATTTATACGACCTTTTTAGAAATCACTAATTTACCTCGAGGGATTTGTAGTCTCTCAAGCACCCTTTATCCTTGGTTAAGGAAACTTTATCTAAACAACTGAAAAAAATCAAACCTCAGCAGCCACAGAGGAGAGAGTGCTGAATGGATATCTGTTCATTTTTGGGAGCTTTTCTTTGAGAGGAAGCTTTTCGATTGGATTTACTCCACTAAAGCTCATCCTGTTGATGACAGAGGCACTTAGAGATGAAACTGTGTAATAAATGGCCACAGAAAGAGAGAGAGAGAGAGAGAATAACTGAAAGGGGGGTTTCGGTATGAGAGATATTAGGATACGGGAAATCAAGAAATGATGACTAACAAAAAAAGGAAATAGGTGGGGAAGAGTCGACACTATAAAAGCCCGACCATTCACAACACTTCCTATCTACTACACTGGCTTCATCACTGCTCTCCAGTCATACCGCCCCCCTCTCTCTCTCTCTCTCTCTCTCTCTCTCCCTCTCTCTCAGCTGCTCTCCCTCCCCTCCCTTCCTGTGGATGGTGTAGCTCTCTCTGTCTCTCTCTCTCTCTCCCTCTCGCAGTCTGGTGGAGCTGCACACAAGGATTAGAGGGTTGCTGTGTGAGTGTCTGCTCAAAGAGAAGAAGCCAGAAGACAGAACGAGATTTACAAAAAAAAAAAAGAAAGAAAAAAAGAAAGGCAACAACAACAACAAAAAAACATTCTCTACAAGAGGATACTATTGTGGATAAGTGTTGAGATATTTGTCTTTTTGCACAGCCTCCCATCAAGCTGAAGCCTTCACCTGGGGGGAGAGGACAGATAAGCCAAGGGACTATATATCCTGGAGCCTCCACTCGGGGAGCCATGTGAGCGGCACCCCCAACCTCCAACCTCCACCTACTTCACACTACACCCCACGGTCCTGCACTCTGAGCTGGGGAGCACAACCAACCGAGGATTTTTCTGCCCCCCACCTCCCCTCTCTACTCTCCTCCCTGGAACCTCTACTTCTTTCAGGAGAGGGGACTCTCCGGGCTCGGCGTACCCCCGGCGGGAGACACTCATCTCGGGGCACTGGTCGGGCTGTGAGTGCCCCCCTGGTCTGGAGGCCAGCCAGCAGCACTCCAGCACCATGGATTACCTGCTTGGGATTGTAGTGCTGCTGTGCGGGGCGGTGCAGCCTGGACGAGGAGTTGAGCCCAAGCACAACGTACCCAGGCTAAAGCTGTCATACAAGGGTAAGCCCATTCTCCCGTTCTCCCCTGACTCCAGGTTATAGAGAATCGCTGTAGTAGCCGGTGCTTTTAGTTTCTCCCCCTTGCCCATGGGTGCTCTTTTATGCCTTTTCTTTTCATCTATTCTTTTATTTTTTTTTTTGTCCTCCCTCTATTTCTGTGAATCTATTTCTGCCTGTCTCATTCACTCTTTCTCCCTCTTGGTCAGCATACAGTATCTTACTCTCCCTTTAACCTCCTCTCTCGCATTAACTCACTCCTTCCTTCCCTCTCACTCGCTCTGCCTGTCTTTCAGAATTCTCCTTACAAATAGTCAGATTGGTTCCATATGCCGTGGAAGGGCTCTTGCCTGAAGTTAAATGTATATATTGGCCCCTGTACCAATTTTCCCCTCGTGCTGTCCCCTTTCTGCTAGGACTGTACAGCCCCTGTTAAGTGCTCTGAACAGGCAGTAGAGCCTCTGTTTTAATGGCTTCTGTCCCAAAAACTCCTAAAAAATAATAATAAAATCAGGGGGGGGGGATCTGCTTTGGTCATGACAGAGCCCTTCTATAAGCGGCCAGGCAGGTTTGCCGACTTCTCATTACTTTATCCTAAATTGATCCAACAGTTGGAGTTTTTTTTTTTTTTTTTAAATGCATGTTAATGTAAAGCTTGTGCATTAAACCACCTATATGCAGGACTAGTGGTAGAGAGCGAGAGGGAGTTTCGTTTTGTCTTTTTATATCGTGCACGTGTAAGTTTTTGACGTATACAGCAAACATGTTATTCTCTCTCCTTCTGTGTTATTTTGAGGGGAGACTGCGGAGCGCCGGTTCTTCCTCTCCTCCTCCTCCTCCTCCCTCTCTCTCCCTCTCTCTCTCTCTCTCTCTCTCTCTCTCTCTTTCTCTCTGTCTCGTCTCCTCTCTCACACCCTACACTAAATCAGGCTCTTTGTAATAGCAGACTTTTCATCTCAGGCTAGAAATAACTGGCAACATTTTTGACATATTTTGGGAAGGGTTGTATTTTTTTTTTTTTTCTTCTTCTTCTTCTCTTTTTTTTCAGTGCGGGAGGCTATTGTGGTTCTTTGTCCTAAAACATGACCGAAAGTATATGGCTGGGAGTGTGGTGATCTCGATTCTTTATTTTAGTCCCCGTTTACTCTCATAAAACATGCCCTCTGAAAATTTATGAACAGGCTGATTCGCCGTCGTTCTGCAGCCGAAAACGCGAGCGTGTGATTGAAAGGTTGACTGTCACCCAAAGCTTTGGTTCCTCGGGACAATTTCAATCCACGCTGGGGGGGGCAGAATCAAAATTTTTGGTCTCGAAGAGGGTGCCTACGATGTTTGTCACTAATTCATTCTCTATCTTTAGACAAGACGCTGAGTATAACTTATGTTTAGAGGCCTGCTATATGACATGCTTTATTCTTTAGATGGAGTACAAGTTGTAATTTGGGGGTTGTATATTTTGATTTATCACCCTTTCAAGTTCCAATGTTCTAAATATAAAATAAAAACGTGTAGTATTTTAACATTTAAGTGCCCTCTGTGGCGCTGGTGTAGTGTGGCCGGCGTATCATGCAGGATTTGAGAGGGCGATGACATGCATTTACCATGTGAACAAAATAAATCTGGAAGGAATCATAGCTGAACTTACCTGCTACAAGTCATACATCCCCTGGGCACCATCATGTCAGTTCGCACGGAGCCAAACCTCTAGGCATGATGAGAAAATGTCATCCCCGTCTTTACACAGCCATCTGTTTAAAGAATGTGAATCTGGTTCCCTCCTGCCCCCTTTTGTGATCCTCTTCACTGTTCAGTCTGACAAGTGAACATGTTGCTGACAACAGCACTAGACAAGAGATATGTCATCAAGCATCAAAGTCTGCATTGACTGGCTGCATGACTGATGGATGTGTGTCGTCAAACCGGAGAGAGCAGCTTCGCTCTGCTCCGAGAGACGCACTTTTGTGGATGTACACAGAATTTATTTTTTGCTAAAAGTGCATCAAAGCCTCGTTGTTTATGTGTGTGAATGTTCTTGCCATGTCTTGGTGTGAGGACTCAACACCCTCTTTTGTGATTTCCTCCTATTAGACTGCAAGTGGTGTGTGAGTTTGCGTGTGTCTCGGCGCGACACAAATGTGTCAGGTCTTGCATGTCCTCATATAATTAGACACCTGGTTTGCGCGCATGCATGAGCTCACAAATGATTTCAGTTTCTTTTATTGTGCTGTTGAATCAGTGTTTCTAAATTTACGTGCAATCACAGCGAACGTTGGGCTGCAAAGGCATGAGAGCGTGTCACTTTCTTTGTGTGTCACCGCTCGCCAGCATCTGCGCTCGTGTCGCGGGCCCACAGGTGTTTGATGGCTCTCTTGATGTGTGTCGGGAGACGATTCTCAGTTTTTAACACCCACATTGTTGGCGGATGGTGGGAGGAAAGGAGGAGGGGAGGATGGCGGTCGTGATGGTGGAGGGGTTTTAATGAAGGAAAAGCTGGCAGACGTACAGTAGGTGACGCAAAGAGGAAGGGAAGGCAGGTTGTTAAGTGAAGTGTCACTCATCCCCCCTCTCCCCATGCGGAGCCTGCATAGTAATTAAGTCAAATAAACAGCAAGGAGGAATCCTCCTGGGAAGGACAGTCAAGCAGGCGCAGAAGTCCAACTCGAGAGCCAAGGCCTTTAAGTGGGACGATCACATTAGCAGAGGAGCAGGACAGTCGCAGGGTTCTGTGATTCGGGGGGCAGCCAAATAAACACAGAGCACATGAGCAGGGTCCCATGAAATCACTCTCAAATGAGCGCTGATGACACGCCTCCGGGGACCCACAAAAGTGAGCGATTTTCTTCTTCAGGAAAGGACGAATGAGCGACTGCAGAGTGAGCAGTCTGACTGAGGAATGGAGACAGGTAGATAAAATGACCTCTCGTGGGACGGCTGGCGGAGCGAGTACAGAGTAAATGATTTCCCAGTGGGGTCAGTTAGACATTCAGTTAAAAAAGAAGGGGGAATCTGGCTTCACGGGGACAGAACGATGATCACAAGAGTTAATGATTTTCTCTTCTCCTTCAGACTAAAATTACTTTCCTCGCCTTGACTAGTAGCATAAGGAGAGAGAGGGATAAGGTGAAACTCAAGTTAAAATAATCCTGCTTAGCGAATATATTACACGTGTTGATATGATTTCATCGCAGGTCAACTTGTGCGAACAAGTGACAGAAATTAATGTTTTGTCATAGTACTGGATCAAACTGCCTAGTAAAAGTGAGTCAACTAGAATTTCCCTACAGAGCATACATTTTAACATACTGAGTGTTTCACTACTCTGCTGCAGTGGAGCAACACAGAGTCCATATGAATTACAAGGGTAAAACAATGATACACTCCCATGGATCAATACATATCTGCAGACAATCACATTCCTGAACAGTATCAATGCACAGCCCTCTCCCACACTGCGCACCATCAGGAGGAACACTGACCCCTAAAGGTCAAACGAGGCACATACAGTGAGTGCTGGATGGGGAGATTCTGTGCAACTGCAAAAAACTTGACCCTATTTGTTTGTCTAAAAAGGAGCCAGCGAGCGGGGCTTTTAAAACTTAAAAGGTCTCGTTAAACAACCTGATAATTACCCTCAGTATGGGTAATTATGGAGCCTACCGTATGACCTCTTAATGCCACCGCGGCCGCCCCACGCTGGCTCGATGGGAGGAGGACAGGCAGACTGAGAAAGAGACGGGGAATCTGGAATTGGCTTACAACCCCTTCAAAATAGACACTTGGTGTGGAACCGCACTCAACGCAGTCTGGACTCGGCCCCATAATAAGCCCGTCTGTGCGAGCGCGTCCGTGTGTGTTTGTGTGTGGGCGTGCCTGTTTGCCTACGAAAATATGTGCAGTTTGTATGTTTGCGGGTGTTTGCATGTGTGCCGGTTAATCAGTGTGTGTTTTTTTTTTCTTTCTTTCTATTTATTCTTTTGATATGTGAATGAGCATCCGAGCGTCTTTTTTGCTCCCAGCTCCTCTCGGCTGTATCTGTCCATTCCGCGGGCTGAGGGCTGACAGAGCGGATGTAGATAATTATAAGGTGTTCTCACAACGCGCCAACTTTGGAGATGCCTGCCTCCATCTCCCTCGCTCTCTTTCTCATCGTTCTTTTTCTTCCTTACCCCTCCTCCTTCCTCCCTCTCCTGCGGCTCGGTCGCTTCTCGAGGAACCACAACACCGCAGACCCTAAGTACAATCTTCAAGCAGGCTATGTGTGTGTGTGTTTGTAATTTTTTTTTTTTTTTTTTTCTCTCTTTTGACTTGTCTCCTTTTCCTGTCTCTTTGATTGCAGCTCAGTTGATACATATCTTTTGGCTATCCTTCTTTTCAACTCTACTTGGACAAACACCCACACACACACACACACACACTGAACTACCCTCATCTTTGCTCCCACACAGCCACATTCCAATAGTGTAAACCAATGTTTTACAGTGGCTCGCTTTTTTCAACCGTGCCCCTGTGTTGCGTCTGAATACATTACATTTCCTTACACTGACTCACAGAGCCAACCGCAGTGTTTGGTAAGCTCCCACCAACCCCAGTCCACAAGCTGAAAGATGGCATAATGAATGTGTGTATTTGTGTTGACACTCATTGCCCCACGGATAATTGTGCAATGACACAACTCCACTTGGAAAACAAAAAGCCATTCATCAAGCCACTAAAAAACTCTTGTCGCTTGTTTTCAGTGCGCCTAACTCGTCTTTGTGTTAATGCTGGAGGTACAACTAGAGTGTATTATCATTACTTCTGGGGTAATTTGTGAGTTTTATGACCTTAGCGTGTGTCTGTGGTTCGCTTTATGAGTCTGTTTTGATTCCCCCCCAAGCGTTCGTAAAATGTTCCCTTATTCCTCTGGTCCGTTGAATCAAAAACAATCTGAACGCGCGCTCAAAGGCCACAATAGGAGGCCGTAGTTTGTCCAAAGATTACTGCGCGCGCACACGGCGATTGTGTACATTTTTCATCTGTGTGTACACAAGCACTGTACGGGCTTGCACGCAGGAAAAATATCCCGTGTCTTTGCATCTGTGTTTGGGATGTAGGCTTGGGTTACAGCATGGTGCAGATTGCTGAAGCGCGGGTATGAATGGGTCCCGCCACCTGCTAAGTCTTGTCAGTCAGATGGAGAAAGGGTGCACCGTTCAATCTGAGCAGACTCGTGTTACAAATGAGGGGGACATCTTTGCAGAAAGACGGACCGAAGGACCGACAGACGACAGACGAAGACAGGGGAGGAGCGGCAGGCGAACACTAATGTTGAATAAGTGGAGAAAGCAGCGGGTTGCGTGATTTTTTGCACAAGACTGGTGTTGCTACAGATCTGCAGTGATTTATAATAATTATAGACACTGTTTGCGATTTTGAGCCAACAAATCGCAGTTTATTTTATTATCACAATTTAGTTTGAAATATCAGCGCCTTAAAATCTCAGTAATTTAAGGCTCAAATTGCTGTGGAGTCATATTTTTCCCTCTTCTCCACAAACTTGCTATTTTTCTTTTCCTGTCATAAATAACACAGGCAGCTTGAGATATAATGAGGGAGGTTTTGAAAACACTTTTACCAAAATGTCATATTTTACATCGCTACACTGGGAAAACTTGGCAGCTTCTATGTGGGATTTTATTCATTTTCATTTCAAGAAACGCGCACGAGCATTCGCATGTTACACAAAACCTCATTTTGTAGCACAAGAACCGTAAATAATGCTGCACAGAGCCCCGCGTCTTTGCCTGCGGATCTGTGTACGGGCGGCTCGTCAGCGTGTCGTCGCTGTCGCAGTTTGCCCGGGACACGTTGGGTTCTGTGGCCCTGCCTCATTAATTTGTAATAAAATGGCAGGGCTGACATTCAGCTACACCGTACGGCTTGACAGGCTGCACTAACAGGCAGTGGCTCCAGACATGACCACGATAACCACAGCCTGGTTCCTCTCAAAGTCCATCCATCAAGCTGCCTAGTGATAGCACTATCTTCCTCTCTCTGCACAGCTTTGCAGGGGAGGGTGATATTGTGATTTGTGAGCGGATACACAGAAACCAAATTCTGCCTCTTGTTTAAACAAGTTTACATTGGTGGTTGTATTTACATGCAAAAAGGAAGAGAAAAAAAAGAAGGTAAATGTGTGTATTTGCATGTGTGTGTTTTCCCTTAGAAGTAATGAGAAGCAGAGAGCAGCCTGGTTATACCATGAGCACTTAGTGGTGTGTGAGTGGGCTCTGTGCGGTAGGCATGGCCAGGCCTCGAGCCGTCTGTGGTCGCAGCGCTGGTCTGTGGTCCAGCCGTCCAATGACAGGAGGAGACACACACTAATGAAATGGTTCCATACGGGACCGCTTTTGTTGTAGCTTTCTTTCTTTTTTCTTTTTTTTCATCTCATGTTTCTGCCTTCGTTTGCTGTCATTATCCCTGATTTCAAGTCTTTTCATGTCTATCTTTCCGTCTCTCTCTCTCTCTCTCTGCTTTTAACCTCCTGTCAAATCTTCCAGTGTACTGTGCTTTTGTATTCTCCTCACCCCGTCTTTCTCTCTCTCTCTCTCTCTTTCTCTCGAGGGAAAGCAGGAATGTCGTGCGGTGACAAGGAAGTCTAGCATTTGGGTTGAGAGAGATGAATGGTGCTGTTTGGCGAAATTCAACACATACTTAGACTACTCATATAGATTCAGCGCGGTTTGGGATGTGGTCACGTTTTTTCCTTATTAGTCCCTCTGATACATATCCTATGTTTTAACCTACACTGAGTCATATTCATGAGACAGAATATGGCATTAAAATGTCTCATACTCAACTTTGAATTATGGCCGTGACTCACTTTTGTTGAAAAATAGAAATTTAAGTTTCTAATTCATCTTGAGTCAAGGAAAACTCACTCATTATGGCTTCAACGGCAGATTTGTGACATGTTTAGTGTGGCTGTAGTAAACGATTTTCATTCATGCGCTCGTTTTCTTTTCTTTTTGGATTGAAACATACTTCCCGGCACCGTGCGTGCGTGTGAAAGGTGTCAGATCTGTCAGTCGGCTTCACCTGAATGAGAAATCCAATGGCCCAGGTTGTGTTGTACAGACGGTCACCATGGAAACCAACCCACACCTGCTACTGTGCTTAGAAAGAGAGAGGAAAAAGGGAGGGAGAAACGGAGGGGAGGTGAACTTTTGAGGCATGTGTGGATATCCTTGAGCTTAGGATAATATTTGAACACTTTGTTAAGCAAAGCTCTCAGCAAATTTCCACGGGGCGCCTGTCTCCTGTTTTTTTTTTTTCTGACACCTGTGTTTTGTGGCCGAGGCCATCATGAGAGCGGGGAAATGTGCCGCTGCACCACACACCGAGAAAAAAGAAAGCGTTCGGAGGCAGAGACTGACATGCCAAACCAAACCACTGGAGATATTACAGTTCTTGCTTCTTTTTTTGTTTTTTTTGAAGCTAGCCTCGTATTCGAAAGACAAACATGTGCAAATTTCTGCGCCAGTTCCTGTTGAGCTGCCATTTTCTTTTCAACTGTGTTTTCTCCTCCTGCACGTCAATGGAAGCGGTTCTTCAGTAATACGCAGACTTGCGCAAAAACCACAGAAACAGCAAAAAAAAAAAAAAAGGGGTCCAAGTCTGGCACTTTATGCCAACTGCAGGAGAGAAAGAAAGCAGTGTCAACAAACGGGAAGTGAACGAGTGCCATTCAAAGACCTTTTTTGTATATTGAAAACTCCTCTGCGTGCTGAGCATTCGCTGTGTATACGAACAAGAAAAAGACTTGAAAAGCGCCACATTATTTTAATGGAATATTATCCATCTGTTGAATCTCAGTCAAGTGTTTTCCTCTGGGAGGCTTTTATGTTTCATGTCACTCAAACACACACTCACACGGCCGCACGTACACACACTCAGATAAACATAATTTAATGCCCTGTCGCCTTTCTTTCAAGCGGTTTCATTATTCCGCTATTGCGTGGCATGTAGGCGTCTAAAACGCCTGCCTGTTTGGAGAATGGGGGAGTGAAGAGTACTCCATAGACAATTGCACTTGAATTTTGAATGTATTTTTTTTATTTTTTTCCGATGAGCTTTTTAAGACAAGAGCCAGGTTATTTTCCATAATGGAGTATGGCGGAGGGACAAATGGGAGTTTATTTGAATGAATTGCTTGTGTTTGCCAGTTTTAAAGTGTGTTGAATATACGGTGTGTGTGCATGGAGTGAAGATGAAAACACATAATCACTCTATAATCACATTAAACTTCCAAAATTCAGCCCTATGTGAACATCAAACTACAAATTAAGCCAAAACTGGATGAATAGATAGGATTTGCATGCACGTATTTGCATATTTGTGTTTGTGCACGACGTGTGTTTGCATGTTTGCATAGGCCACTGTGCGTGCATGTTGTATGTGTGAAAGGCTGAATGTGGGAGTGAAAGAGAGCAGACAGAGGATGTGTGTAACAAGAGAAAGTGGGAAGGAATAGAGTGTGTGTGTGTGTGTGTGTGTCTGTGTGTGAAGTGGAATGTATGTGCGCACACAAGTAGATGTGTTTAAATGTCTCTGTAAGCAGACTGTGTGTGGTGAGGGGGCACGTGGCACATATACATTAGAGGAGTTGTGTGTGTGTGTGTGTGTGTGTGCGTGCGTGTGTGTGTGTGAGGGGGTCCGAGGCCCGGGATTGTGTTAGAGGTGGAAGCTGCTGAGTGCGCTCACTGTTCCAATAGTTCATGCTGCATNCTCTCTCAGCTGCTCTCCCTCCCCTCCCTTCCTGTGGATGGTGTAGCTCTCTCTGTCTCTCTCTCTCTCTCCCTCTCGCAGTCTGGTGGAGCTGCACACAAGGATTAGAGGGTTGCTGTGTGAGTGTCTGCTCAAAGAGAAGAAGCCAGAAGACAGAACGAGATTTACAAAAAAAAAAAAGAAAGAAAAAAAGAAAGGCAACAACAACAACAAAAAAACATTCTCTACAAGAGGATACTATTGTGGATAAGTGTTGAGATATTTGTCTTTTTGCACAGCCTCCCATCAAGCCTTCACCTGGGGGGAGAGGACAGATAAGCCAAGGGACTATATATCCTGGAGCCTCCACTCGGGGAGCCATGTGAGCGGCACCCCCAACCTCCAACCTCCACCTACTTCACACTACACCCCACGGTCCTGCACTCTGAGCTGGGGAGCACAACCAACCGAGGATTTTTCTGCCCCCCACCTCCCCTCTCTACTCTCCTCCCTGGAACCTCTACTTCTTTCAGGAGAGGGGACTCTCCGGGCTCGGCGTACCCCCGGCGGGAGACACTCATCTCGGGGCACTGGTCGGGCTGTGAGTGCCCCCCTGGTCTGGAGGCCAGCCAGCAGCACTCCAGCACCATGGATTACCTGCTTGGGATTGTAGTGCTGCTGTGCGGGGCGGTGCAGCCTGGACGAGGAGTTGAGCCCAAGCACAACGTACCCAGGCTAAAGCTGTCATACAAGGGTAAGCCCATTCTCCCGTTCTCCCCTGACTCCAGGTTATAGAGAATCGCTGTAGTAGCCGGTGCTTTTAGTTTCTCCCCCTTGCCCATGGGTGCTCTTTTATGCCTTTTCTTTTCATCTATTCTTTTATTTTTTTTTTTGTCCTCCCTCTATTTCTGTGAATCTATTTCTGCCTGTCTCATTCACTCTTTCTCCCTCTTGGTCAGCATACAGTATCTTACTCTCCCTTTAACCTCCTCTCTCGCATTAACTCACTCCTTCCTTCCCTCTCGCTCGCTCTGCCTGTCTTTCAGAATTCTCCTTACAAATAGTCAGATTGGTTCCATATGCCGTGGAAGGGCTCTTGCCTGAAGTTAAATGTATATATTGGCCCCTGTACCAATTTTCCCCTCGTGCTGTCCCCTTTCTGCTAGGACTGTACAGCCCCTGTTAAGTGCTCTGAACAGGCAGTAGAGCCTCTGTTTTAATGGCTTCTGTCCCAAAAACTCCTAAAAAATAATAATAAAATCAGGGGGGGGGGATCTGCTTTGGTCATGACAGAGCCCTTCTATAAGCGGCCAGGCAGGTTTGCCGACTTCTCATTACTTTATCCTAAATTGATCCAACAGTTGGAGTTTTTTTTTTTTTTTTTAAATGCATGTTAATGTAAAGCTTGTGCATTAAACCACCTATATGCAGGACGACTGGTAGAGAGCGAGAGGGAGTTTCGTTTTGTCTTTTTATATCGTGCACGTGTAAGTTTTTGACGTATACAGCAAACATGTTATTCTCTCTCCTTCTGTGTTATTTTGAGGGGAGACTGCGGAGCGCCGGTTCTTCCTCTCCTCCTCCTCCTCCTCCCTCTCTCTCCCTCTCTCTCTCTCTCTCTCTCTCTCTCTCTCTTTCTCTCTGTCTCGTCTCCTCTCTCACACCCTACACTAAATCAGGCTCTTTGTAATAGCAGACTTTTCATCTCAGGCTAGAAATAACTGGCAACATTTTTGACATATTTTGGGAAGGGTTGTATTTTTTTTTTTTTTCTTCTTCTTCTTCTCTTTTTTTTCAGTGCGGGAGGCTATTGTGGTTCTTTGTCCTAAAACATGACCGAAAGTATATGGCTGGGAGTGTGGTGATCTCGATTCTTTATTTTAGTCCCCGTTTACTCTCATAAAACATGCCCTCTGAAAATTTATGAACAGGCTGATTCGCCGTCGTTCTGCAGCCGAAAACGCGAGCGTGTGATTGAAAGGTTGACTGTCACCCAAAGCTTTGGTTCCTCGGGACAATTTCAATCCACGCTGGGGGGGGCAGAATCAAAATTTTTGGTCTCGAAGAGGGTGCCTACGATGTTTGTCACTAATTCATTCTCTATCTTTAGACAAGACGCTGAGTATAACTTATGTTTAGAGGCCTGCTATATGACATGCTTTATTCTTTAGATGGAGTACAAGTTGTAATTTGGGGGTTGTATATTTTGATTTATCACCCTTTCAAGTTCCAATGTTCTAAATATAAAATAAAAACGTGTAGTATTTTAACATTTAAGTGCCCTCTGTGGCGCTGGTGTAGTGTGGCCGGCGTATCATGCAGGATTTGAGAGGGCGATGACATGCATTTACCATGTGAACAAAATAAATCTGGAAGGAATCATAGCTGAACTTACCTGCTACAAGTCATACATCCCCTGGGCACCATCATGTCAGTTCGCACGGAGCCAAACCTCTAGGCATGATGAGAAAATGTCATCCCCGTCTTTACACAGCCATCTGTTTAAAGAATGTGAATCTGGTTCCCTCCTGCCCCCTTTTGTGATCCTCTTCACTGTTCAGTCTGACAAGTGAACATGTTGCTGACAACAGCACTAGACAAGAGATATGTCATCAAGCATCAAAGTCTGCATTGACTGGCTGCATGACTGATGGATGTGTGTCGTCAAACCGGAGAGAGCAGCTTCGCTCTGCTCCGAGAGACGCACTTTTGTGGATGTACACAGAATTTATTTTTTGCTAAAAGTGCATCAAAGCCTCGTTGTTTATGTGTGTGAATGTTCTTGCCATGTCTTGGTGTGAGGACTCAACACCCTCTTTTGTGATTTCCTCCTATTAGACTGCAAGTGGTGTGTGAGTTTGCGTGTGTCTCGGCGCGACACAAATGTGTCAGGTCTTGCATGTCCTCATATAATTAGACACCTGGTTTGCGCGCATGCATGAGCTCACAAATGATTTCAGTTTCTTTTATTGTGCTGTTGAATCAGTGTTTCTAAATTTACGTGCAATCACAGCGAACGTTGGGCTGCAAAGGCATGAGAGCGTGTCACTTTCTTTGTGTGTCACCGCTCGCCAGCATCTGCGCTCGTGTCGCGGGCCCACAGGTGTTTGATGGCTCTCTTGATGTGTGTCGGGAGACGATTCTCAGTTTTTAACACCCACATTGTTGGCGGATGGTGGGAGGAAAGGAGGAGGGGAGGATGGCGGTCGTGATGGTGGAGGGGTTTTAATGAAGGAAAAGCTGGCAGACGTACAGTAGGTGACGCAAAGAGGAAGGGAAGGCAGGTTGTTAAGTGAAGTGTCACTCATCCCCCCTCTCCCCATGCGGAGCCTGCATAGTAATTAAGTCAAATAAACAGCAAGGAGGAATCCTCCTGGGAAGGACAGTCAAGCAGGCGCAGAAGTCCAACTCGAGAGCCAAGGCCTTTAAGTGGGACGATCACATTAGCAGAGGAGCAGGACAGTCGCAGGGTTCTGTGATTCGGGGGGCAGCCAAATAAACACAGAGCACATGAGCAGGGTCCCATGAAATCACTCTCAAATGAGCGCTGATGACACGCCTCCGGGGACCCACAAAAGTGAGCGATTTTCTTCTTCAGGAAAGGACGAATGAGCGACTGCAGAGTGAGCAGTCTGACTGAGGAATGGAGACAGGTAGATAAAATGACCTCTCGTGGGACGGCTGGCGGAGCGAGTACAGAGTAAATGATTTCCCAGTGGGGTCAGTTAGACATTCAGTTAAAAAAGAAGGGGGAATCTGGCTTCACGGGGACAGAACGATGATCACAAGAGTTAATGATTTTCTCTTCTCCTTCAGACTAAAATTACTTTCCTCGCCTTGACTAGTAGCATAAGGAGAGAGAGGGATAAGGTGAAACTCAAGTTAAAATAATCCTGCTTAGCGAATATATTACACGTGTTGATATGATTTCATCGCAGGTCAACTTGTGCGAACAAGTGACAGAAATTAATGTTTTGTCATAGTACTGGATCAAACTGCCTAGTAAAAGTGAGTCAACTAGAATTTCCCTACAGAGCATACATTTTAACATACTGAGTGTTTCACTACTCTGCTGCAGTGGAGCAACACAGAGTCCATATGAATTACAAGGGTAAAACAATGATACACTCCCATGGATCAATACATATCTGCAGACAATCACATTCCTGAACAGTATCAATGCACAGCCCTCTCCCACACTGCGCACCATCAGGAGGAACACTGACCCCTAAAGGTCAAACGAGGCACATACAGTGAGTGCTGGATGGGGAGATTCTGTGCAACTGCAAAAAACTTGACCCTATTTGTTTGTCTAAAAAGGAGCCAGCGAGCGGGGCTTTTAAAACTTAAAAGGTCTCGTTAAACAACCTGATAATTACCCTCAGTATGGGTAATTATGGAGCCTACCGTATGACCTCTTAATGCCACCGCGGCCGCCCCACGCTGGCTCGATGGGAGGAGGACAGGCAGACTGAGAAAGAGACGGGGAATCTGGAATTGGCTTACAACCCCTTCAAAATAGACACTTGGTGTGGAACCGCACTCAACGCAGTCTGGACTCGGCCCCATAATAAGCCCGTCTGTGCGAGCGCGTCCGTGTGTGTTTGTGTGTGGGCGTGCCTGTTTGCCTACGAAAATATGTGCAGTTTGTATGTTTGCGGGTGTTTGCATGTGTGCCGGTTAATCAGTGTGTGTTTTTTTTTTCTTTCTTTCTATTTATTCTTTTGATATGTGAATGAGCATCCGAGCGTCTTTTTTGCTCCCAGCTCCTCTCGGCTGTATCTGTCCATTCCGCGGGCTGAGGGCTGACAGAGCGGATGTAGATAATTATAAGGTGTTCTCACAACGCGCCAACTTTGGAGATGCCTGCCTCCATCTCCCTCGCTCTCTTTCTCATCGTTCTTTTTCTTCCTTACCCCTCCTCCTTCCTCCCTCTCCTGCGGCTCGGTCGCTTCTCGAGGAACCACAACACCGCAGACCCTAAGTACAATCTTCAAGCAGGCTATGTGTGTGTGTGTTTGTAATTTTTTTTTTTTTTTTTTTCTCTCTTTTGACTTGTCTCCTTTTCCTGTCTCTTTGATTGCAGCTCAGTTGATACATATCTTTTGGCTATCCTTCTTTTCAACTCTACTTGGACAAACACCCACACACACACACACACACACTGAACTACCCTCATCTTTGCTCCCACACAGCCACATTCCAATAGTGTAAACCAATGTTTTACAGTGGCTCGCTTTTTTCAACCGTGCCCCTGTGTTGCGTCTGAATACATTACATTTCCTTACACTGACTCACAGAGCCAACCGCAGTGTTTGGTAAGCTCCCACCAACCCCAGTCCACAAGCTGAAAGATGGCATAATGAATGTGTGTATTTGTGTTGACACTCATTGCCCCACGGATAATTGTGCAATGACACAACTCCACTTGGAAAACAAAAAGCCATTCATCAAGCCACTAAAAAACTCTTGTCGCTTGTTTTCAGTGCGCCTAACTCGTCTTTGTGTTAATGCTGGAGGTACAACTAGAGTGTATTATCATTACTTCTGGGGTAATTTGTGAGTTTTATGACCTTAGCGTGTGTCTGTGGTTCGCTTTATGAGTCTGTTTTGATTCCCCCCCAAGCGTTCGTAAAATGTTCCCTTATTCCTCTGGTCCGTTGAATCAAAAACAATCTGAACGCGCGCTCAAAGGCCACAATAGGAGGCCGTAGTTTGTCCAAAGATTACTGCGCGCGCACACGGCGATTGTGT